GCTGCCTAGTTGAGAGGAAGGAAATCGGACATTTAAGTATATCCATATTGAGGAAGAAAACCCACTCCAATAAATATTTAGACTTTGGATTATTACACCCCATCAGCGCAAAAGTATCAGTTGTTTCAAGTCTTCTTAGACGAACACACTCTTTGATGTTAACAGATGGGAAGGAAAAAGAAGAATAAATATAAAACATTACTGGGACTCTCAAGTAAAACAACTACTCAAGGAACTTCATCAACAAAATCAACACTAACATTAAATATGGTCGAAAAAGTATTCCAAAAATATGGACCTCAACAGCTGTCAGTCATTCCAAATAGAGCGGAGACCTCAAGCGATATCAGAAGAGTACTCATTCAGCTCGAAATCAGAGTTTTCTTCAAAGCATCAGACACATCACAAAGCAACCCTGTCCACGTAGCAGACCAAAACCCTAAAGATTCTCTATCTGATTGTGTCTATAAAATAAAATGCCTGCTTGGAATGTGATGCGATATACACCGTAGAGCTGTATCTGTTTGACCGCCGAGAAATCCAACTGAACTGGAAAAACTTGAAAAATCATCAGTCATAGGCTGTCTACACGCTATCGAATCAGGCCACAATATTGATTTTGACAATATTGAAATCATCATCCAGAAAAACTTCAGAAATCACAAAGAACGTCTCACTTCATCAGAAGCACTTCATATCAAGTGGAATCCAAACTGTCTGAATAGGAATGACGGACTAAAACAGAATCTGATCTGGTTGCAACACCACCCCCTCCCCCATGAAGTGACAAAATCAACATGAATATCATCAGCAATTTTACACACTGATCGAATCCAGCAATCTATACTTGGTTTTGTTATCTTTACCAATTGACCAACTTGACAACGAAAAATGACCCGAGACTGACGAACGATGATCAAGTTAGTAAAGTTTTGTTTTGATATCATAACAGACGTACTATTACTTTTGTTATTTGGTTTAGTGATTGTCATTGTTATTTTGACTTTCAATATGTCCTTTTAACTTGACCTAACTTGTCTATTTTCTCACCTCTTAACTCTTTGTTATATATAAGCTGAGTAGATTTTGTAAATTCTGGTTTAATAATACTTTGATAAAGCTATTAGCAGCAGCATTAAATATCGAAGTGCCAGTGAAAACAAAAAAATCGTTTTGTCTTCCATTCATTGGGATATACAAAGAAACCTTTATTATACTTTTAATTCAGTTTGAATTTTCCAGTTAATTGACTGAATTGAAATGTTCGAGGCTTCTGTTGATATATCGGCGCTCTCTGTGTGAGGATCCTTCGACGATATAATTTACTGGATAGTGACTAGCCATGTGCAATCCAAGATGCGAGTTTCGCACTATTCAGGGCTCTTCATCTAACTGGATGTACCTGTACATACCCCAGTGAGTGATGTGCTGTTTCCCCCTGGGATTTCAAACTCAGGTGGTCTCGTGAATAACACTTAGGAGACTGAAACGATAAGAGTGTCTCAGTAGCACGGGAGGCGTTATTTTTACAGACTAAGGTTGCTAGCCCTACACACGCAGCCTTCTCTGTTTATCTGGGGATTGGCGAGGTCCAAGGGATGAATAAACTGGGGATCGAACTCTAGATCATGTGAAGTGTGGTTGACAAACATTCTACTGCTGAACCATAGAAATGGTTGTGCAGGCGAATTATTTTTATGAATATGTTCCTCTACATCTCATGCCGTGGAAGATATGAAGAAGGCAAGCCAGGTGTCGTCTGCGTCCTATCTCTCGTCTTAGTTGATGAAATATAGTTAGTTATAATGCGGTTAGAAGACATGAAGTGTTGGATAGGGTAGGGAAATTAATCTACGAGTTTATGAAGCTACAGCAACTGAGATGGATAGGAAACCTGTTATATAGGCGCCAAGCCACTGACGTATTTGTCTAGCTAGAAATGTTAGCTAACAAAAGGATTAGGCTTGAAGAAATTAACACAGTTAGCATCTGTAAGAACAAGAGCACCCAATCAGTTTATTAAGTTTTTGAGTGTTGGTTAATGCCGAGTAGTAAGTAGCAAGACTGACTAGTTGGGGTCCTCAGAATGACGGGATCATAGGGATTATTGAAAAGACAGTTGAAGCGAAGAAAATTTCTTTCTCGACGAAGACATCAACTAAGCTGTACATTCGTGTATTTATAGTAAGTAAATGGGTGGGAAAGTTCCAGAACTATTGACGGTAAAAGGTCAAATTAATAAAATTACAAAGTGTAATAATCGGGAAGATTGGATAGAAAAGACATAGTAGTGTGGCATGTGCTACTGATAAGATTTATCAGTAGTATGTATATGAAGAGATGTTCATCGGCATAAAACATCAAATAGCAGAGAGATAGATTTGATGTCAGAGAAATTCAATGATACAACCTTGTGGAGATACATGGGAGACGTGCAAGGAACGCAAAGAAACAATATGAAGAAAGTCCAGAAGTAGCACAACAAATGGTGCGTTGAAGATAAGGTGTACATAATTTGGCTATATATAGAGATACCAAATTTCAAACTGCCATTCTTTCGCCAAGTATCTCGTCTTCTGCCGGTGTACACTATGTTCACCTGAATTCCTGTCTTTGCTGCCGCCTGCTTTTTCTACCAGTTTGTTTTGGTTTCCGCCCTTAAATCTTCGAATTTGTACGACATTAGACACACGAGTCAATTTACTCATACTAACTACGAATATTATGCGTCGGTGGAACAGTGGTAGAATGCTCGCCAACCACGCCTCATACGGTTCAGGGTTCTATCCTCGACTGTCAACGCGCTCCTTTACATCGCTAAGCCAGTAATAAGACTGGTAAAGAAGGAAGGTTGTGCATAAGGCTAGAAACCTCATCCCGTAAAAATAAATACCAACCACATTGATATATATGTGTAAAACTTGGGCACTGTGGTAGTAAGTAATTCCATAATAGTTTGTTTATTAGATATATCATACACAGTCAGTGAAACAGTATTATTTACTGGATGACAACGTTTCGAACAAAATTTATTATTGTTCAGAATCATATCAATCAATTGTTATCACACGACTTCGAAATTTGAGCTTTATAGTTTTCTTTGTTCTCTCCTATTTGTCGTCGTTGGGGTAGTAGAATTCTCCAGATATCCACCTGGACAGGTGTTGAATCATTCCTATTGCAGACATGTGTTTTCAGTTGATTCGATAAACAAAGCTTCTGTAATCAATCTCTCCCTCCACCCTATGACATTAGATTTTAAAACTGTCATCCTATCCCACCCATCCTACTGTATGCTTGTGTGTAATTGCATGTAGTGCTATCTACAGCTGAACTATTCTCTAGATTTCTTATCTTATTCGGATCAACTAATCTAGATTTTGCTGCTAGGTTTTCGTGCTCCGCTAGTCTGACTGTCCCTGTTCTACTACTTTGACCTGCGTATGTGACCTGACAATCATCGCAGGCAGGGTATTAGATGAACTAAATTGTTTTGTTTTAACGGCTTCACAGAATCCTTTAACCGACAAAGCTTGTTTCTCATTGAGTTTTTGGGTTTGAATGCCACTTTTACTCCTGCCTCGTTAAGAATTCTGCATAAGGTTTCCGAGGTTCCTTCCTTGTATGGAATTACTACTGATGATTTAAATTTAGAATGATTCAACACCTGTCCCAGATATCTGGAAAATTCTAGTATACCTACGAAAACAAATAAGAGAGAACAAAGAAAACTATAAAACTCAAGTTTCGGAGTCGTGTGATTATAATTGATTGGTATGACTATGAACATCAACAAATTTTGTTCGAAACATCGTCGTCCAGTAAATAATAATACTGTTTCACGGACTGTGTGACATACATCTAATAAACAAACTAATCTGGAAATACCAACCATTGCTACTGAAACTTCAAGCTGGCTCTAGCTTGAAGCCCCCTCCCCCCGTATGTTCCACTGGGGACGTAAAGGAAAAAAATAAATAAAATATGAGACTACTTAGTCATACAATGACTGGCTGGCTGGATTCAACATAGAACTTGGCACCAAAGTGCAGTAGTTCGAGTTCCAAATAGTACACAAAGGTAGACAAGAAAATGAGTGAAGAGAATCAATAGAGTTTTGACAAGTATAAGAGTGAAACAGAATGAGTAATGGTAGAAAGGAATATGAAAGATTACAGAGACTGAATACATCTGCGCCATCCATTGACAACGATTTTGAGCCATGTCACCTATTGTCTCCAGCCATTGATTGTTAGAGTCCCGAGGACGGGCCCCAACCCGGAAGTCTGCATCTCCCTCCCTACCTGACTCAGTTTAACTGTCAAGGATTTCATGGATTGATGTCATGTTTTGTTTTTTGTTTGGCCACCACTTACTCTTTCCCAACCTGCACCTATATCAGCTAGTAATGCCCATCGGGGGAGGTGATGGTTAGGCATGCGCAGCAATATATATTTATGCAAACTGGTTTTAAGGGGGGAGAGGGGCTCATTTAACTTCAACAAGATATCTATCTCAGTGAAACTCCAATAATAATGTAACAGACCTAGACATTAGTACCTTGAAAAGATCAATTGAAGTCTCAGTTATTTTTAAAGAAATATATTTTCCGATGATGTCTTTTGAAAAAAATGATATATACACAGTAGTATTAGTATTAGGGTAGTCAGACAACTGTATCCAATAGCAACCACTCCTACTTCTACTACTCTTAGAGTAAAGTATACGGATAAACGCACATTTTGACTAGACTTTCAAAAAAAGACAAAAAGTCAGAATGTATTTTTTTTTCTTCTATGGTTATCCATGTGAACACTAATCATGTCATGTGAGTACACACACACTACTACGTAGTTTGAGAGCGGGTGTTTATCGTATGCTGCTGTTTGATACTCATTCATTCAACACAGAGATGTTAGTTGTGTTAAGCTGTACACAATACTTTAGATGTTCTATATATAATAACTGACCGTAGCGTAGTAAGCACATCTTGATAACGATCAATTAGTATAAGAATAATAATTTTTAGATTGAAGATGAAATTTTGTTAAGTTTAAAATTTTTTCTTTTAAATGATGTAATAGAGAAACAACATATATAATATATCTGTCTAGTGGAAAGAAAGATTGCCGACAATATGATGATGAAAGAGTATTTTTATTTATTTATTTTAAGATAGATATGCGACACCATTCAATGTTATTAAAGTGTCTAGGGCGTATGATGATAAGGTCTGACTTTTTGATTCATTGCTTAGCCTTTTGTAATTGAATGGCCAATATTTTACTTAATTAGTGGATGGTAACTAGCAGTGGAATCCAGTCAGTATGCGCATTTCGTCCTATTTGGGACTCATCAGCTAAACTGGATGTACCTGCATTTCCCAGTGAGTCAATGATGATGTTCCCACCAAGGCTCAAACCCAGTGCCCATAGTTTCAAACGTTAAAGCGTTATCCAGTAGACACCACTTGGGCCACAAGAGTCACTGCCTCTTGTGCAACGGGTAATTATTCAAATTGATGTAAATTGTAAGTGATAGTTTGTAGGGATTTGATTTGATTGGTTACAGGATTTCATCATGACGAGCTGATATCGATTATAGAAGCTGATTGGAAAACCACCAGGGAGTACTACCAGAGAGCTGTTTCATCAGCTTATTTTGAGATTCTACAGCAGTATACAGACACCGCCAGGGTTCGAACCACTTTGACATGACTCTAACTGACTGACTGGTTTCAACATAGAACTTTGCACTGATGTGCACCAGTTCAAGTCACCAAACTCAATATAGCACACAAAGCAAGAGAAGAAATGCAAAATAAAGACAGTAAACAGAGATATGAGGCAAAAAGAATAATAATATCGAAGAACAATATAGTTTTATTGGATATTATAAGTCACAAGGAGTGGATGCATCTGCACCAGCCATTGAGAACGATCACTTTGAGCCATATAACCAATTGTTTCCAGCCTTCATTGGCTTTTACCGTCCAGAGGACCCTAACCACTCAAGAAATCTACACCTTCCTACGTGGCTGCACGTCTTCAACTAACTGTTGTGGATTTCATTGACTGCTGAGGTCATGTTTTGGTTTGACCACCACTAGCTGTCTCTTTTCCAACCTGACCCTGTGTCAGCTAACATTGCCCACTGTCGAGGAAGGCGATGGCTAAGCTGGGCATGCGTTACACATGTCCTATTGAACTCAATCGATATTACTTCATAGCCTCGTCGATTGATTTCCCCTCGTTACCTAGTACTCAACACCTAATCTCAATATTGCACACCCTCTTATACCACTTCACACGGGACATAGAACTGAGGCAAGGCAAGCTCGTAGACTATTAAGCCACTGTGACACGATCCAATTGTTCATGAATTCCAACCTCTGTCATTTCATGAAATAGAACGACTGACACTAGCCAATAACATCGTTGGCGAGTATTTGTCCTCACAGCCGACCTGCTGTGTACCCCACTAGTTACGACTTCTCACTAGAACCTACCTACCTACCTGAATAGGACCAGTCACTAGAGAGCATCAGATTGATATTCAAGTGTTGGCTTTCAGGGATTTGATTTGATTAGTTTCAGAATTTCATCATCACTAACTGACATCAACTCATAATCAAATCTGTACCCAATCAAATCAACTGCCTGCAAAACCAAGACTGGATAATGAATTAAATTGGTTGGAGGATTTCATCATAAGCACTGGCATCAGTTAGAGAACCCCATTAGAAAATCACCACCAGGGGGAGTACGCTCAAACAGCTGTTTTCGCCAGCCTAGTTTGGGACTCTTCACCGGTACGCACCCACCGCGACGGTTCGAATCAAGGACCGGGTTCTGGTTACAAGACTAGAGAGCTCGCAGACTATTCAGCCAAACTGGGCTTGACCTAGTTCTCTAACTAATGTCAGGTCGTCATGATGAAATCCTCCAACGAATCAAACAAAATCCCTACAAAACCAATACTTGAAAATGAATTATTATTATTATTGTTCCCTTGGGTTCCTAGTGGAACATAGGGCTTCAACTACACGTCTCCACTTGCTTCTGTCTTCTGCTGTACTTTTCACCTGCATCCATGTTAGCCCATACTGTTTCAACTCCTCTTCACACGATCTCCTCCATGTCACCCTTGCATCGACGAACCACTCGCCACTTCCCTTTCGGGTTCCACTCGAGCGTTGGCCTGACGCGCGATGTCACCCAGCGGCCTCCTCAGCCAGTGAGTGTCCAATCCATCTCCACTTTCTCCTGCATATTTGTTGGGCGATTGGTTCTTGTTTTGTTTGTTCCCATAGTTTCTTGTTGGTGATTCTTTCCGGCCATCTGATCTTCAGTGTATAGAACGGAGACAGTTGTTGATAAGGGTCTGCAACAGGCTGTTGGAAATATTTTTTGTGACACGCCAAGTTTCTGATCCATCCGTATAGAAGAACTGACTTGACGTTTGTATTGAAAATCCGAATTTTGTCGTTGATGCTGAGTGACAGCGGAAGATTTCCAGATTGGTTTCAGGTTGATGAATGTGTTTCTCGCCTTCCCGATTCTCGATTTGACATCCTCGTCCGTTCCTCCTGTAGTTGAGACAATGTTCCCTAGATAAGTGAATGAAGTAACCTCTTTCAAATCCCTCCTGTTGATGGTGATTGGCGCTGGATGTTGCTGCTGCTGTTGTTGTTGTTGTTGGTTGGTTATTTTCATAACCTCCGTCTTGTCTATGTTCACCTGGAGTCCTGTCTTCTCTGGCTGCTTCTTCGACCAGTTTGTGGGTTTTCGCTTGTAAGTCTTCGATTTTGTGTGACATCAAACATAAATCATCCACGCGCGAAATCCAGGTCTTCTAGGTTCTTCACGTCGGTCCAGGATATCCCTGTCATCTCGTTTCCCACTGCCTGACGACGCATAATCCAGTCCACGACAATTAGGAATATCATTGGTGATAATAAGCACCCTTGTCTGACTCCTGTGTTTACTCCAAACGCCTCCGTTGTTTCATAAAATTGTAGTATTCCGATGTTTAAGTTTCTCGGGAATTTGACTAATAAGCGTAATAATAGCTTTATTATGAATAACGTTCATGGAATATACAGAATTTTCAGCAGAGTGATATTTTCTCTTCGTCGAGGATCTTCAAATACAAGATTAATTGACAGTAGATAGTATGACACTGTCTGCTATCTAACCTTAAGCTCAAACCAATCCATTACGATATCTGTTCTTTTTCTCCTTCGGGTATTTACACAACGACATGTGATTTTTACACAAAAAATGATATGCAACAACATATTGATGACGGTTTTCTTTGGCCCGAGTTAAATATCGTACAAATCATTGAGATGACTAACTAAACAACTAACTAACTGACTAACTAACACAGTGGAAGGCATTTCTGATGAAATAAAATAAAATAAAATAAATCGTAACAGTAACATCATAAATAAGCTTCAATCTAATGTCATCATTGTTCTATTATCAAAGGTCTTCACAATACATCCAACCAACAACCCCCACCCTCCCCCGGGGAACACACACATAAACACACATAGATTGTGTGTATATATTCTGTCTAACATGTTTAAACACAGTGGCCTAGTCAGTGTGTTTTGCGAAAATTGGTTAGACAGGTGATAGTCATGTAAAATCAAAATAATTATGATATTCTTATCTTCTCTCTCTCTCACTCATCTAAACAATAACAGAGAACACACTAAATGTAAACGAAAAGAAAGTTAATTTGCTCTCCCCCCCTCTCTCTCACACACACACACACACAATCTCTGCTGTATCAAAAATATTTGCTAAAATAAACCAAAATAAGAAAAAGAACTGTCATAATCTCTTGTTGTTAAAAGTGTGAATAATAATAATAATAAGCTTTTGTGGGGTTTTTGTATTTTTACAGTGTGATATTTTGTTATATATATTTAATTTTCTATAGTTTGTCTTGTAACTGGTAGGTCCTGGACTTGAACCCTGGCAGTCAGTGGGCGCCTACTACCGATGATTCCCATACTTGGATGGTTTTCAGTGATTCTCTAACTGATATCAATCTGTGGTCAAACTCGTATAAACAAATCTAATCCCTTACAAACCAACTCTTGACGAATTAATGTGATGCTCGCTAGTGACTGGTGGGCTGCAGGACGGTGTTTCCTGGAGTTCTAGTGAGAAGTCGTGACCAGTGAGGTTCAGCCAGTCAAGTGTGAGGATGAATTTCCCACCGACGACATTGGTTGGTGCCATCAGCGCTACAATCACGAATTAGTAGAAGTTAGAATTCATGAGCCATTGAGTCGGGTCCCAGTGGCTGAATGGTATACGAGCTTGCCTTGTAACCGGAAGGTCCTGGGTTTGAATCCCAGTGGGTGCGTACTACTGATGATTCCCAAACTAGGATGAAACAGCAGCTGTCCAGTACTCCCTGGTTTCCAATGGTTCTCTAACTGATATCAGTCCGTGATCAACTCGTAATAATAACAATGATAATAATAATATTAAGTTTTTGTAGGGTTTTTGTATTTTTACAGTGTGATATTTTGTTATATATTTAATTTGTTTTAAAACGAGTTTGACCACGCATTGATATCAGTTAGAGAACCATTGAAAACCAGCCAGCATGGAGTACTGGACAGCTGTTTCATCCTAGTTGCGGAAGCATCGGTAGTACGCACCCACCACAGGGGGTTAGAACCCAGGACCTTCTGGTTACAAGGCCAGTGAGCTCGCATACCATTCAGCCACTAGGACCCGATTCTACCAATTTGTGATTTAGCGTGACTGGTACCAACCAATGTCATCGGTGGGAAATCCATCCTCACACTTGACTGGTTGAACCTCACTGGTCACGACTTTTCACTAGAACTCACTCCAGGTGTAACGACAGAAGGCAAGAGTCAGGCAACAGATCACTTATTAAGGAAATCAACGCATATTTATATATTTGCATGTACATTACTATGGATGTTTAAGTAAACAAACACAGTCTTCCGATTGGTTGTTTCTCAAGTAAAGTTAATCTTTCAGCTATTTGTGACTGTTTCTTGAATGTCAAATCCTCTATATGTTAACTGCATCCGCCTACGCAAAGTTTGCTGTG